GAATGTATCAAGTCCACTGTCAGATGCTGGGAATCATGACAACTACTATGGCAAAATACTTCGGACTAGGTGCGTTCTACATAGTCTCCCTGACCGCAAGACCAAGTTGCGACAACGAGGTCAACCCACTTCTAAGTAGAGCTGTTTATTTTATTGATTTGCATCGCCTTGTATAGTCTAAAACTGGAGACGGAGTCAGTGGATTATTGGTTCAAACGGCTCTCCTTACTGCTCTCCTTATTTATTAATTTTGACTTTATGCTTGCATTTACAAAATATTTAATATTTATAAAGTATTTAGCAATATTTAACTTTTCGAAACCTAGTTATTCTGCATAGCGGTGTTTATCTTGCTTTTATAACCGTGTGATTTGCCAAATGACAATGCATTATTGCCTGCATCGATTACTGATTTTAGATTGAAACTTTTCACACTTAACCGGCTTTGATTTCCTCTAAGAAGCCTATAACTCCTCTTTAATGTCTGAACTGAAGTTACTTTAACACGCGATTTTGTACCTTGACCACTTTCTTTCCCCATAGGATTCTTTGATTGGGGATCTTCTTGACATCGACGTTGGTCCCACAACCACTGCATTGGATCCAAGTTCTATATATGCTTTTCCATCGAAAGGTGATCCTATGGCGCCTATGTCTGGGGCTGCTGCAGCCAGTTCGGGAGACTTGCTTGGCGATGGTCTTGATGATCTCCTTCCTGGCGCAAGTTTGACTCATAATATAGCCCCGGGGACTAAATCAGGTCTTTATTACATCTCAGCAATGCAGTTACACTCCCTAAATTATTCAAATATCGCTTTTGATTTTATCATTAATATCCGTTTTTCTGCTTTATAAGTTTTTCCAGGTCTTTTTATCTTTTTATCTAAAAATCAAATAGGAAGAGTTAAGTGAGTCCATTGAAGTAATTAAAACTTGAATTTACGCGTGAACGCCTTGTATTATTTATCGATTGTGGCATAACTTGTGGGACTTTTAGCTTGATCTGTTCGTATTGATCTTAGTTAATTCATCTAAGTTTTCACCTCTATTATGCCATTATTTGCATAACAATGTAATCATGTAATAAATTTCGACGATATAGCA